ATGCATTTTCCGCCCACAGTGGATGAACGAGGCAGAGTTATACCATTTACAACAAGGCTCAGGCTTACCAGCTTTGCTTGAAAGAGGACAGGGACGGTTAGAATGAATCAATGCGAGATATCTAGCACAGAACATTACAGGTGATTATAAAACATCAATTCAGGGATAATAACTTCACATTTAATACAGTACACATCTTACTCCACTACTATAACATCATTAATCTAAGTTACGTAAGAGGAGCGCGTAACAATGCATTATTTACACCGTTATTGCCCCTTATCTACAAACGGTGGGAGGAACAATACGGGGGGATAATGTAAGAATGGCTTACCTACATTTCTCACAAGAGCACATAATGCCGAATTCACTTAACTTTATAGATTGAATTGAAGTAAAACACTTCTAGATATGGTGAGCAAATAAAAAATGCGCCGACTCACACAGAACTGTAGATTACGCTTGCCAGTGAGTTATTTATTTAGAGCCTATAATTGACGGAGCTGCCCCTACTGACCTTTACGCTCTCAGTCGAAGACACATCGCAGAGTCAACAAATCGTCCAGAAAAAGGAACTCGAGAAAATAGCCAGAGAAGCCACGCTGGGAAGTCTTAATTCTCCAGACTGACAACGTAGAATCACAACAAATACGACGCCCTGGCGACTCCATATGTACGCCAGATCGCGAGGCGTTGTATTAAAAATTATTTTTATTCGAAAGTTAAGTTGGCGATGAGACTGTCTATTAGAAAATACGCCCGATATCAAGAAGCCTGCTACTGACCTCTACCAGAGTTCAACTTCCCTTCAATTTCAACGTGCGTATTCAGGAGGTACCGCGTTAACGACCGCAGCCATTCCCCTCCCCCTCACTGCCCGGATGCAGTGGCATTTAAACGAAACGTTCTTCCGGTGTTGTGAACCGTGCACATGCTTCCGGCAAAACTGCATGTCAGCAAGCCCCGACGTCTAGATCAATGGTTGCAGATGCTAAAGTGTTTTTCCTGTGTCTAAACGGTATACATAGTCGGATTTGAAGGGTGGCTCAGCAAACATCCTAGTGTGGAATTCGAGACGCACAACCGCAATACTGAACGAAAAGATGCCGCGCACTCGCACTGCAGACCACAAATTCCACACGGAATATCCGGGAAATAGGTTACGGTTTCGGAGGGGTGGGGGGTAGCACTCCGAAGCGACACGAGTCGCCCCCGCAGAAAACAATACATGAGCAGCAGCAGCAGCAGCAGAAAAAGAAGAAGCAGAAGAAGAAGCAGAAGATGAAGAAGAAGATGAAGAAGCAGAAGATGAAGAAGAAGAAAAAGAAGAAGATGAAGAAGA